AAAAAATATTCCTTTCTCTCTTTTTTTTTTTTTTTTTTTTTTGACCGATCACGGTAAGAGCATAGGTATACATACGTGTAGCGTAGGTTCAGCGTTGAGAAGGCTCGTTTCGTCGCCGAAAGGTCAGGGACAACGATACTATGTAAATTCGCGCTGGGAAACGAATTGCGTCGCACGCGACGCGGAAAATTGCGTAGAATCGTTCGCGAGAGACGTGCAAAGCCGAGGAAGGAGGATTCGACTCGAAGGAACCTCGCGAGGAGAAGAAGGCGCCGATCGCGTAATTGAGGCGCGGGGCGTCGCGTCGTTGGTTAAACTCGGGAGGATTCCACAGAGTGAAAACGGGGGAAAACGCGTTTAACGCGAAAGCGAGCGAGGTGTAAGGATAAAGAACCGCAGGCAAGCGGCCGCGAGAATATATGTACATTTGCGCGGTACGGCGGTAACGATCTCGCTCGAGGGAGGAGGACGCGCGTTAACGAGCAGCTCCAACTCGCTTTTACGCTGCGCGCGTGGGCCCGTTTAATTTCCGCTGTAAGCGTATCGACTCGACGTAACGTTACGTTACGTTACGTTACGTTACGTCGATGACCTCTTCGTGCCATTCGATCGTGAGCGAGAACGTGTCTTGAAATTGCAAAGCACGATTTGCTGGCAATTTGCTTTGTAATCGCAGACATTTTCAATTGGTTTTTCCCGTTCGCGTGCTTAACGCTAGAACTATCGGCGATTAACACGCTGAATGATTTTCATCATGACAACTGACGTGAATCTGACTTATCATATTATGTTGAAATATTATCTGATATTCACGCATTGTTAACCGGCAATTTTACGCAGATGCCATCTCGTGTTATCGGCTGTTATTTCGTAATCGAGTGTAAACGTGAAACCTCATTTATACAGAATTTAAATAAAACTTTGTACATCTCTTGTATATAGGTAGCATAATCAATGATTGATTTTTAAATGAAATCTGGAATAAATCTAAAAAAATTTAAATGAAAGGATTAATGAAATATATACTGTCTCATATTTATAATGTGAATTTAAAATTTTAATAAAAATGTTAAAATTTTTTTATGGGACCCTATAGAGTTTCATATTAACTTAATTTTGTAATTAATATGAAATTTAATTTAATATTTAATTGGGAGAATTGTTAAATTTAATAAATTTTCATTAAATAAAACTTTAATTAAAGAAAATATTCTGATTTTTAATTTAAAATTAATAGAATAAATTACCTTAGCGCCAACAGCGTTATATTTTTTTTTATAGATCTTGTAGAAGGAAATGATTGCGACCTCGATGTTGAATTAAAATAAATTTTAAACGTAGAGTTTTAGTAATTTTTTTCTGGTGTAATAAACTGTATAACAATCACCTACGTGTAATGGTACACAACAGGTTTTGCAAATTTGCCGTTATGGGACTATCAATTTCCACGTCACTGCAATATATTTCAAAATCAGACAAAGTCCCTGCTGATAATATAATTCATTGAAAAGCTCTTTACTGTCATGACTGAAATTTTTGTAACACTGAAATTGCCACTGCGTATTAATCGTATCGCATTAATTTCTTCACGCCGTTGCAGCGACAAAAAAAAAGCTAATATTGAAAAATTTTGAAGTACCAACGTTCGCTCGAATTATCTGTTTGCTGGTAGATGGTAATTGAACTTCCATCAGATACATACATCCAAAGTCCAAAATAACAGAACTTTGGGAGAATATACAAGCTTTCATTTATGTGTTTTACGAAAAATTATTGAAACACACACTGTTTCACGTCTGCAAAATGTCCAACGAGAATTACAAATTGGTCGTTTCTAGGTGGTTCTAGCGTTAATCGCGCGTTGGCGAGGATCGTCCGATCCAATTATCGGCTTTCGACGGTTCAACGTGTGCTCTTCAGGGCGACATTTTTCCCTCGAAGCTGGATAAACGGTGACGTGCACACACGTTAGAGACGAACGAACGAACGAAATCGGGAGAAAGAAGGAAGAGAAGTGGCGGAGAAGGCAAGTTTCGGAAGCCGAACAGCGACAGCCGATTGCGAGAGAGGTAAAGATCGATAAAGAATTTCGACGTCGGTCCGTTGTTTCGTTGCTTCTTGCGTTCGCGAATGTACCAGGCCACCAGACAGGCCGGTGTCTCTTTGAATCTTTCATCGACTTGCCGCGCCTGCGAAACCGGCCAGTTGCTTCGGCTGATTTTTTCACGAGACACGGGATCTCGCAACGCAGAAGCGAAAATTTGCCCTTTTCTTTCACTCCGAAGCTACATCCGCACCGTACTTGGCTTGTTTCGATTCAAACGATAGACGAAGTTGTCCTTCGCTGTCGGTTTTTTTGCAGGCTTCCAATTCTGGACACTTTTCTACGCGAACAACGATGAAATGTCCATTTAGATCGAGAGTAAAAGTACAAGCAAAGAACGAAGAAGAAGAGAAAGAAAAAGGTGGGCGATGTCTACGTGAAACGAATCGTCTTCCCGTAAGTTGAAACGAACAGCGCGTAAGAAAGTTACGTGAACGTATTTCACGGGAAATTTGGGACACTCGCGATGCGAAATGCCATTTGTTTTGCAATTGTTAAAGGTGTTATTGCGAATAAAATTTGCTCGTCCCTCTATTTACACATTTTCTCTTTTTACACGATATTTCAACCCTTTGTCCGAGCTGTCAGCTAGATTTAACTACGATGTCCTCTTAGAACAGACAGTTGAGTGCAAGAGATTAAATACTTTTTTTTGTACCGCGATGTCAGAAGATACAGAATTGTAGACCAATTGATCGAAACGTTCAACAAGAGCCTTGCAATTTCAAACGAGACTCGGAGGGACGTTGCGGCGAATATTAGCAAATTTATGAAAACTTGGCAGAAGATAAGTCTGAGAACAAATCGTCCGAAGAGGTTCGCGATTAACGACGAGAATGAAGTCGAACTTGGAAATATTTCAAGCGACGAGGATAATGAGTTTGTGCCAATTGAGAAGGAAAGGTCGATTGTTTTGAATTACAGTAGCGAATAAAATTTATTTTCGTTTCCTGAAATGTCATTATCATTTCTTTCTTTTTTTTTTATTAATCTGTATGAAATAAATGTTTCGTTTTTTTTTTTTTTTTTCCCCTTTTTTTTTTTTTTTTTTTTTTTTTTTTTTGAAATAAATTTTTTTTTTTTTTTTTTTTTTTTTTGTACCGACAGGCTCGATTTACGTGATTTTCATTCGCACGTGGATACTTCGCGTATGTAAATGGAGGGACAGGTGTATTTTCTTCTCTTCTCTCCGATTTTCATCCAGCGCTCGCTTCTCGCGGACAAGATCGGCAAAACGTCCCATTTCGTCTATATTTGCGACACCTCGTCTCCCCGTTTTTACGAATCAGTCGTCCCTTCTTTGTTCGATCGGTTCGAATTAAGGCAATCGTGGCATCGTCCGCATCCGTAGCTCCCGCCGCGAGAACACGAGTTCTCGAGGCATCTCTTCGGGAGGTGATTTCGGATCTCCGAGATTTCAAGGCCATTTTCTCCAATCGACGATGCTCGACTCTTACGGTCTCGTCGTTTGTCCCTTACGGTTGTCGTTCGTACAAAGTAAGCCGAGAGAAACACAGAACCAGAGGAAGAGAAAGCGAGAGTAGAATAGTTTATTACCATAGTAGCTACTCGAGAAACCACTAACGTTTCTATCGTCGCTATTTGTGCAAATGCACGATATTCGTGCAAAGAGGAAAAGAAACAACAATATTCTCTCCGCGAGGAGAAAGAAATGTAAAGAGAGAAAAGAAGAGAAAGAGAGAGGATCGCGTCATGTCGATTGGTATTATGTACATAAGTCAAGTACTACCTACGTATGTGTATGCGTGCACACGCCGGACTGCGTGGAGCCAGCAGCTCGAGACCGGCGATTTTTCTCATCCGTTCGAGCGATCGGTTTCTCTCCTCTCGCCTAGCCGTTTCGACGATCGGACCGGGGCGACGGGACCGAGGTGATCGTCCGGCTTGAAACGATCGACGACGAATGGTCCGATCCCGAAGGGGCTTGCCGTTACTCGCCACCAAGCGATAACGCCTGCACGATCCGAGGGTCTGCTTTGCTACCCTCCCGGAACTCCTCCAGCGTCAGCTTGTCGTCGTGGTTTTTATCCATTTGATCGAAGATCTTGTCCACCCTCTTCTGCGGCGTGTTCTCGTCCTCCGCCTGCGGCTGCTGACCCTGAAACACCACGCAATCAAACAACGATCACGTTTCATTTCGTTTCAGACTGTTGCCAGAAATCGAGTTGCAACTTGCAGTCGTGCCAGCTCTGGAAACAATTGTTCCGACGATATCCGTGTGCACAGGGTGTTCCGTATAAAAATGGCCACGCAATTTTCTTTTAAACTATAGAGGAAAATGTTTCAAATTATATTTTTGTGTATTATTATTTTCGCATATTATTGTTATATATTTTATATATTTCATTTTACATTATACATTTTTTTATAATTTTATAAATTATACAATATAAATTATAATTTTATAATTAATTGTATATTTTTTATATATTTTAAATATATTTAATATTATTTAGTATATTATATATTTTTTTATAATTTTATAAATTATATAATATAAATTGTAATTTTATGATTGTATAATTTTTATATATTTTATATATTTAATATTATTTAGTATAGTATATACTTTTTTATAATATTTTATAATATTATATTTGTAATATTGTATATTTTTTTAGACTTTACAGTCTTGTAGCTGACATCAAGACGAATTTAACAACCTGGATAATGTTGGTGTTTCAAAGTCATTCAGATTACCTTTCTTGAGCATCTACAGATCGTTTTTTACTTATAATATTCACAAGACACAAGGTGACCTTGGGCATCAATCATAGGGATTTATTCAGTCCCTAAACGACAGTTGCAAGACATTTTGTTGCAAAACAGTTGCACTACTCTCAAATGTGAAAAATCGTATAAGGGACTTGTTAACAAATTACTTTTAAAACGTTGGAAAAGGCGCAATAACCTTGAAACACCAACCTAATTCGTTGACTCCATCTTGATGTCAGTTACACGACTGTGAATTCGAAAATATACAATTCTATTTTAAAAAAACAAAGGTCTGGGAAGCATGATCACCTAGACAAGATTTGTGGCCACTATAGGATACCTCGAAACAACGTGTTTTACTTAAATCATTTTTCTTCATAACGAATGATTTAAGGGAAAATTACGTGATTAGCTTCATATAGAACACCCTGTATAGATACATGCGTGTGCACTTGGACTTGGCTATAGAACACGGAAGAGCCAGAAAATCATTTAGTCGGCATTGTAATGGCGAAAAGATAAAGTCACGAAAGAGAAAGAGAAAGAGAGATAGCTTCGGTTAATTCGAATTTCTCGTGCCGGTAAGTCCTTTGAATAAAAGCCTTGGAAAGAGCGATGAGTTTAACGCGAATCGAATCGGGATCGACCGGCAGGCGACAGACTTTTCTTCCCCGTTACACTGATCATCTACGATCTTTTACAAGGTTTATCGTGCAGTCTCCATATCTAACACGCACTTTCGAAATAAATTACAAACTCTAATTTTTTCCTTTTATTTTATTTTAAGCGATTCATCTATCGACGCCGTGAAACCTAACCTAAATTTTTACGAAATGTCACATCCGTCTCGGCACATTCGCGACCGATAATGTAGTCCTACGTAATTACGAATTCTTTAACTGAATGCCGGTAACGTAGTTCTGCGTTTTAAATTTGTTAACTAAATATCGGTAACGTAGTCCTACGTCACTTCAAAATTGCTGCTCGACTTATATATCACACCAGATGGCGGAATACATTTTCATTTGTCTTGAATATGCGAAAATCATAATATTGAAATTATCCAAACTGTAATAATATCGCTGAATATAGTTAATACAGCAGTGTCAAGTTTGCAAAGTGAACGTAACAACACTTGTGATAAGCGTAAATTGATTATTCACCACCTGTATTTTTTTTATCAAGATTATCAGAAGTATCTTTGTTTTAAATTTTTATTAGGTTATGTATTTTCTTTATATGTTGCAGCATTTAAAAGAAATCTTTACCATGGAAGAAGCAGATAATTTATTGCGAATAACGTTTACGCAGACGCGTTTTTTGGTTATAAATCCGAGTCATCCGAATCCGATGATGATGGTGACACAGGCAGCGATGTTTTGGTACAATTCAAACGAGGGAGTATCAGAATAAGAAAACTCGATAGACAATCTGATACAATAGATGATATGATCTACTAATATCATATCAAAAATTAATATTTTTTCGAAAGAGACTTTGGAAAATTATTTCCGCCTTAAAATCGACGATCGCGAGTGTGTTAAAAGAGAAAAGTACGTTGCAGCGTTACAAATTACCAGTTAACCGTAACAGTTGAACGTAGTTTAGTACTTAACGTGGTTTATGAGAGGAGGCAACCAATCGCGTTCAACGTTTATTTCTGGTGTATTGTACTCGACGTTGCCCGTTGGCCAGAAGAAATCATTGGATTAACGCGTTTCTTTTTGTCGTTGGTGTCCCAGTTTGCACGTGGAGTCCGATTCGAGCGCTGCCAAAGTGAATGGCCAACAACTTATTTTCTCCTCTTTAGTTTCAATTATTAGGAATACCGCAAATGTCGCTTTTGTTTTTCCACCAGAATGAAAATTTCTGATTTTTGTTGTTACAGATAAATATTAGTTTATTACGTAGTCTCCGTTGTTTATTACTAACTGATGTTCAAAGTTAGTGATTCATAGGAAAAATATTCTGCAAGTGCCGATCTTACAGTACAACATTGTTAAAGCATTTACTCTTTAAAAAGTATTTTGTGAACCGGAAAAAAATGATAATTCGATAGAGCCAAATCAGGATAATATGGTTAATCATGATAATATGTGGTCGTATTTTTAAGTCACAAGTCGACTTAAAAATACGATTAAGCGAAAAGTTGCATAGTAACATTCTTTGCTCTTTGTGCTTTATATACTCTTCACAAAAGTCGTGTGGAACCCATACACACTCCTTGCTTGTATAGATTTCCCGTTTGGTGGAAGGAGATGCTCCTGTATAGTGGACCAGAAAGCCTCAAGCCTATTCACTGAAGCTAAATCCTGAACGATCTGACGAGGATTCAATTTAATTAGTGAACCAATCAATGGCCATTGGCCTCCCAGAAAGAGGAACGCCTGAAAGGCTAAAATCACCATACCTGGCATCTACGAGTATTCGAAAACTTTGGATATACATTACAAATTATATTAGTTGCCTTGGTAGCATTATCATTACCAGAAATTCAAATGACTCTGATATATTCTTCCATAAAGTTTTTCTCTTCACTAGCCGTGTGTAGTTGAATGAGAAACTGAATGACGAATTGTACACACATACTTGTATGGAATTTGGAAGCAGTTATATGGAACCCAAGTGAAATCTATAGACATTTCGAAAAGAGGTTGGACGTAAGGAAAAAGACGACATAAGTTTGGTACGGTGCCCCTGTTACATAATGAATATCTGATATATTCTTCCATAAAGTTTTTCTCTTCACTAGCCGTGTGTACTTGAATGAGAAACTGAGTGACGAATTGTACACACATACTTGTGTGGAATTTGGAAGCAGTTATATGGAACCCAAGTGAAATCTATAGACATTTCGAAAAGAGGTTGGATGTAAGGAAAAAGACGACATTAGTTTGGTACGGTGCCCCTGTTACATAATGTTACGACGATTGAAATTAAAATTAAAATCGCGTTAAGCACGTACGGCGATTCGACGCGAATGTATGAAACATTCATCAAACACTCGCGGCGTACTAGAGGAGACGCTTTCGGCGGCTAATAAGTCATTTACGGCCGGGAAAACTTTCGGCTTTCGACAGGAGCGTTTACACGTATAACGAGAAAACTCGAACGCTCGCTCGTTAACGTAGAGGCTCGAGCGAGGAGACAGATGCTCGAGGCACGGAGTTGACCGTGTGTTGCAACGCGGTCATACGCACGTATGTGTGTATGTACATGCATATTTCTCGAGTATAACACGCGGTTAGCACACGGAAGTCGCGTATAATTTCAAGATAGGATCGGAATAAAAGGGTGCCGCCGCGACTCGGTAAGTTCTCGATAAGAGTACGATAACAGCGACTCGTCGCTCTCCGTTTTATTTTATCGTCGATCAGCACGGTTGCACGCGCGACTTTTCCAACGATTTTCCTTCGTCGATCGCGCTCGCGCCAGAAAATTTTCGTTGAAAATTCTCGAACGTGCTCGTTCGTTACCACGAAACCGTCCCGCATACGCAGACGATAATCATCTCCGGTTCGATAATCGCCGGGGCGTGCTCGGTGGCTTTCTCGATCGGCACAATCCGCGAGTCACGACTGGAATTTTCTCGCTTTATTGGCGCCAATGCCAACCCGACGCGTTATTGATAACGTCGTCGCCGAGTTTCTCCACGTCGGCGTCGGCGTCGGCGTCGGCGTCGCCGTTCCGCCGAGGAAATTCGGGCATCGATCGGCCCGAAGATTTTCCTCGAGTTTTGCCACCGATCGTACGCGATTCATACGTGAAAACAAACTGTCGTTTCAACGAGAATTGTTCCTAAATTCCGTAGAAACTTTGCGTTGCGTTGCTTCCAAAAGCGTGCAAAAACTCGAGGCCATTTCATGGATATATATATATATATATATAGATAGATAGATAGAACGCGAGGCGCCGCGACGCGACGGGCAATCATCGGCCGCGAAATTATGTTTGAACAAACAAGGGACTACGACGTAATTACGAGATGTAATTGAGTTTGATCGCAGCTCGTTACTCGCGATCGGATCGCCCGTCGCTGTTACTTCGAGATAATAATCCGATCGATTTTTCATCGAGAGAGTCGTCGTTTCTTCCTTGCCTCTGAAACTCGCAGCCAGTATATACACTCTCGCTCTTATTGTTGGTGTTATATTGGTGATACAACGAAGAATCTGTCGGGAAATCTTGATACACATATGCAGTGGATGTAGAAAGTTTTTGTACACTTGATGAGAAAATTGTCGATACTTGCAACTCTTACAATCTCGTAGGAAGAAATCGTACAATAGGATTTTAAAGGATTTTTGTAAAGAGGAGATTTCAATCTTCAACTTCATGGTGGATTTAGTTGTGAAGGATTTTTCAGTATCCAAAATTATTGAGAGAAAAAATATTTGTACTTGTACTCTGGAAGAAACGAATTCAGTACTCTGAAAGTAAAGGCTTCGCGATTGAAAATGAATTTAGATGGTCTACGAATGCTTGTTGTATTCGCTGTATATTAACGCTTCACAGATTCTTTTGAGATTAAATTTTACAACAAATTTTAAAAGAGTATACTAAGGTTTTGTAAAGTATATTGTGGTAAGTTGGGGAGTGATGGCCCACTTTATATATATATCCTAAATATAATCGATATAAAAAAAAATATATTTCTGAAAGTGAAATGATAAGTATAAGTTTATAATGTTACAGGCAGAAAATTAAAAGAATACTCATAGATTTACGAAACAAAAGAAACATATTCTAGAGTTGGAATGCCAAAAATTCTGGATGCCGCATTTACGCTCAGTTTGCCACTTTGAACTGCCTCGACGACATCTAACAATCTTTCATTTATCCATAATTCTCTATTGTTTGATTTTCTTTTATATTTCGTTGGCATGATTCTCTAAAAAAATATTTACTAACTGTTAAGCACAATTTCATGCTGGGTCAATTCTCTCCTAAAAAAATTGGGCCATCTAACCTGATAGTCTGGGCTGATAACTCGCTTGCTTTTTTTTATAATGATACGATAATATCTTATTATAGAAATGTACTAAACACTATATTAACACACTGCGTTTCGAAAAAAATCATTACATTTCGATAAAATGTTAGTAAATTATAGTAAATTATAGTATTGGATGAGCAGGAAACTTTTGAGACTGTTCAATTATACACATTATCAATTATACATAATTTGCCTTATTTTTCAAGAAGAAAAGAAATGAACGGTTAATATAGCTTGTGATAAACATACGATATACTACCACAAAGAAACTGAAAATTGACATTTGATAATTTATATTATATTGAGGATCGACTTTATCAAGTTTTTTTCTACTTTTCTTTCGTACAATTAATTAATTTGGTAAAAGAATGGCTCAAATAACGAAACTAAAAGAAGTGGCAGTGTATCTGGAGCATCGCATGAAGATTTAAAACGTAATGAAGCAAGATTTACAACGTTTCGACAGGACGTGTCACGTCGCATCAGAACGATATATGTATGTACTTACCACCATCTCGTACATCGCATCGACGATATTATACATTTCCTCTCTCGTGATGAAGCCATCGTTATCCACGTCGTAGAGCCGAAACGCCCCTGAAAGTGAGAAACAGAGACTGTACAGGGTGGATAGAGAAGTTTGCCCGTGGATGATGAATTCCAACATCTTCGATTTGATGGAAATACATGTAAAGAACCTACCTCAAAATTGGCCTTAAGCTTGAATGTCAAAATCGAAATCTTTTTTTGCATTGTATTCTACTCATCACGAAGGTAAGAGGAATTATAGGTCGCAATCTAATAATTCTTTTGAAAAATGGCGAAAGAGTTTCTCAATCGTTAGCAACACTGCGGACGCGTGCGTGCTAACAGCGACTTCATGATACTGAATTAGGTTTCGCTAACATTTGATTTATCATAGTTGCAGCATCAGTGTGAGTGTAAATAATCAAATGATAAAACTGACTGTTAACTGACTGTTAAATAATCAAATGATAAAACTGTTGTTCGAAATGTAAACGTTACATTCGCGTGCAATGTCCACCATAAAGTCGCTGTTAGAAACGCATCCTGTACAGGGTGGAAAGAAAAGTTTGCCTATGGCTATTGTAACAGATGAATCCTACACCTTCGATTTGACGAAAATACATGTAAAGAACCTGTCGCAAAATTGACATTGAGCTTGACTTTCAAGGTCAAACATTTTTTCTTTTTGCATTCTACTCATTACGAAGGTAAAACTTTTCCAAGAACCATAGGTCGCAATCTTGTAGTTCTTTTGAAAAATGGCAAAAAAAGTTTTTTAATTGCGCTTATGCTAACAGCGACTTTATGGTTCTGGATGCGTGGATGTCTATTTTAGGTAATTTTTGCATTAGGTTTCGCTAACATTTGATTTATCATAGTTGCAGCATCAGTGTGAGTGTAAATAATCAGATGATAAAACTGACTGTTAACATTATATAAACATTACGTAACATATACATTCACGCGTCCAAAACCAACCATAACTGGCCAACTTGTGTCGCACTCGCTTCACAACTTTGGAAATTTCAAACGTTTCTTTCCACGGGATTGAAAGTGTATGCAATTGTCTTGCATGACGCTCCAATTCGTCTCTCTAGCTTTCTAACACTAGAATTGCCAAAATGGTCAAACCGACCAATTTATTAATTTATTTCAAAAATGTCACAGATACGAAACAGCGAATTCTTAGAGATTTAAATGGTCTTTCGTGAAGCATACAAACAAAAGTTTGAGCGTAATTTATTGTGTATTTAAGCAACGCTTTTACTACTTTAATGTCCCCGATGGAAATTTCGTGTCTCAAACATCGATGGTTCCGGTCTGTTAATTCGAAGTCTTGTGCCGGTCAACTTGGTCAGAGGCAAAGTGGCGAGCAGTTTACTTACAGTGGAGTTTCTCGTCCAAGTTCCCGCGCGACGTCACCGACAGCGCCCTTATGAACTCTTCGAACTCTATCGTACCGTCCTGCAAAAAAAAAAAAAAAAGAAACAATAGTTCGTGCAGCTTGCTCGCCAATCGGGCGGAAATCTCGATCGTTTCTCGACAGACCAAGTAGATAGATATATATCAAATCGTCGAGATAATTGCACGCTTTTCAGATCTGATCGGCTATTTTCATCTTCTCGAACAGACTTCTCGTCTTTCGAAGAAAACGAAATTGTTGGCAGCAGTAGTAGTAGTAGTAGTATAGATACGAAATTAAGGACACTCCATCGTGTTTCCCTTGCGGATAAACGGATGAACGAAATTGCAAGGATCGAGTAGTTGACAGAGTAGAGCAAACTTTGGACACGACATTTTTTATCGACACACGTTCACTCCCGTTAGCGTTCGACTTTGAATATCGAACGTCCTGTTGGATTTACTTACGCTGTTCTCGTCGAACACTCTGAAGACCAACGAGGCAAATTTCGACGGATCGCCTTGAGGAAAGAACTGCTTGTAGATCTTTATGAAGCCCTGAAATCACGCAACAGGCACTCTTATCTTCGAGCCGCCTCTTTTCTTGGCGTTTCTATTGATTTTCGTTTAATTAACGTGCCAGCTGAAACGAGGTCATACCTGTTCCGTCAGCAAGCCGTCCGGGCAGTCTTTCAGGAATCCTTTGTGCCTAAACAAACGGTCGTCGTCAAAAGTTATCGAGTCAGTTCTTACTCGAGCCGAGCGCAACTCGTGCCTCCCCCCTTCCGATTACCATTTTCTTTTATTCTACAAACGGACGGACAAACCGATAAAAAATCACTCGTTTTGCCGCAGAAGTCGGATAGTGGAAGCTACGGATCTAACGAATGTATCTAACGCTAGCTCTCCGAGTTGCTAGCTATCTATAATCCAGCTACCTTACGTATCTACATACGTACACTCCCGCTCAAAAATCTTAGGGCTCTTTTATTTTTAATATTTGTTTATTTTTATTTTTATTTAATATTCTTTTATTTTTAATATTTTTAATTTTTATTTTTATTTAATATTCTTTTATTTTTAATATTTTTAATATTAATTTTTATTTAATATTCTTTTATTTTTAATATTTTTAATTTTTATTTTTATTTAATATTCTTTTATTTTTAATATTTTTAATATTAATTTTTATTTAATATTCTTTTATTTTTAATATTTTTAATTTTTATTTTTATTTAATATTCTTTTATTTTTAATATTTTTAATTTTTATTTTTTATTTAATATTCTTTTATTTTTAATATTTTTAATTTTTATTTTTTATTTAATATTCTTTTATTTTTAATATTTTTAATATTGGTAATTTTTATTTTTAATACTCATCGTGGATTATTGTATACAAATATTTTCTGATATAATAATATAACAGTATAATAATACAGTATATTGACAGAGTTTTTATTCTAAAGTATGTTTTGTATTTATAGTATTTTATATATTCTAGTATATATTCATTGTATTTAAGTATGTTTTATATTTATTCATTGTATTTAACTATATTATATGTATGGCATTTAATTTTAATTTAAAACAAAATGTGAATAAATTTAATTTTAATTTTAATTTTAAATATGTATGTAATTTAATAATACAGTACATATAATACGTATAATATAATAACTTGTAATACATATAATACAATATATTAATATATTAACAGAATCTTTATCGTATAAAGTATGTATTATATTCATTGTAAAATATGTATTATATTCATTGTATTATATTGCATGTATTGTAAACATTATTGTAAACACAACAATTTATATTGTTGTACTGCATATTGCGTATACAGTTTGTACTTTTATATTGTGTAATTCATATTGTAAATATCTAATATTTGTTGTATAATTACGATTTATATTTATTGTACTATTTTTTATGAATATTGTACTATTTTTATCATATAAATGTAATTTGTCCTAAGATTTCTGAGCGGCGGTGAAGAGCATAACTAAACACATAACGATGAAAAATTGTCGATACTTTAAATTGTTATATTGTCGTAAAAGAAAATCATAGAACAATCTACTTGAGTTCATTTTGAAGCGTAAGGCTTCTAGAACTAAAGCTTCTTTGACGGTCTTTTTTTCAAAGATGTTTTTACATCGTGCAGCGGCTGGAAAATTGAGAGTACTTCTATTTTCGAAAATTGTAAAAATTCAAACATCTTTGGAAAATTTTTTTTCATAATAGTCTTGAAAAAATTTTTCTTAATAATTCCTTAAGACTTGCCATACAATTCTGCTATTTTATTGAACTTTGAACATTAGAATTTAACGACGAAATGTTACGATCTCTTAAATTTTTGTCGTTTAACATTAATATTCAAAATAAAGTGACGAAGGAAAGCAAGTTTTAGAGAGGAAACTTCAAGGCCGTGATAAATGGAAGTCAAATAAAATTTTTCAGTGTTTCCACACACGTGTCAATTTTTTTTTTTTTTTTTTTTAAAGAAAGGAACACTTTTTCGTTCGCTGCGTGACGTTGAAGTACCTTGAAAAGAAAAAAGAAAAAAACGAATTTAGGGCATTCAAAATAAAAGCTTCGCGCTTTAAAATGAGACTATCATACGATCCTTTTTTTTACGAAGTTGTAACGAAGTTTAAAGTATCGATAACTTTTCGTTGAAATTAATTTTCCGCGGTGCAGGCTGATTACACGGAAACAGTTTGCGTCTGCCAGAATAGTGACGATAAGAAACACCGGTTGGTAGAGTTTTCTTGGCCAAGGCAAAACATCCTACAAAAAACGCTAAACACGTTCTACTTTCTCTCTCGTGCTTCTCTTCCTGCGCTCGACGAAATACTCGATGAAATATTCGCGTTAAAGTTCCACGTGCGGGTTTGGTTTCGTTCGTCTAATTGTATATCGGTCACGCTCTTGAAAGAGACGACCCAACAAAGATGAGGAAATTGAAGACGCGACTAGAGCTTCCGTTTGACCGATGCCACGTGCAACTACCCACAACGGGATCCTTTCACCCGTGCAAATTAATTTTCAAATTAATTGAAACCCGAGAGTTGGACTCTGAGACTCTGAGAGATAGATGTCCGCGACACACTGCGATTTCCATCTCGACGGTTGTGGAAGAGGGGGGGGGGGAAGAGGCGCAAAGGAATCGGTCGGGGGCCCCGAGGTCCCGGCGGAAACTTGCAACTGTTGGCGACTCACCATTGCCGGATCTCCTTCTCGGTAACTGAAACAGAAAGCAGCGAAAACGCTTTTAATCGAGTGCACCGGGCAAGGGTAAGGCAGGCTAACGAGGAGCAAAGGTTAGCGAAAAGTGCTCGGCAAACAGAGGGGAATATCTCGAGCGGAAACTAAGCAAAAGCCCCCTACGTAGGAGAAATAATACTCGCGCGGGCGGGTCGCGAGAACGTCGAGCTATTTGAAATCTGGTCTTCAGATCTGGGCGAAATTTATTTCGAGCAATAATTTGTACATAAACTTTTGAAACGATACGTACTTTAGTACTTGGCAATGGATAATGGATTTCAATTAACGTAGCTCATTTACGTACGTCAGTCAAAGGAGTCTGAAGTTGTGCAATAAATCGAACAACTGATTATTGAAGAAAATAATATTTAGTTGATAATTGAAAATTTGTCTTTGGACAACGTTCGTAGTAAATAAACGAAAATTTTTAAATTTTAATTTTGAGTTTAGATTGTTATTTCAAATAATAATTTGCGAATAAATTTTTGTAACAATGTTCTTCGGTATTTGGCAGATAATGGATTTCAATTAACGTAGCTCATTTACGTACGTCAGTCAAAGAAGTCTGAAGTTGTGCAATAAATCGAAGAACTGATTATTTAAGAAAATAATATTTACTTGATAATTGAAAATTTGGACAACGTTCGAAGTAAATATCAATGGAACTAAAATTTGTAATTTCTAATTTTCAGTTTAGGTTGTTATTTCGAATAATAATTTGTGAATAAATTCTTGAAACGATATTTGTATTTCTTCAATACTTGGCAAATGATGAATTTCAATTAACGTAGCTCATTTACGTACGTCAGTCAAAGGAGTCTGAAGTTGTGCAATAAATCGAAGAACTCATTATTTAAGAAAATAATATTTACCTGATAATTGAAAATTTGTCTTTGGACAACGTTCGAAGTAAAGATCAATGGAACCAAAATTTGTAATTTCTAATTTTGAGTTTAGGTTGTTATTTGCGAATAAATTATTGAAACAATGTTCTTCAGTATTCGGCAAATAATGGATTTCAATTGGTACGCAGCTGGTTCGGTCAGTTAAAGAAGTTTGAAGTTATGCAAATAATCGGCAAAGTAATAAATTGAAGAACTACTTATTTGAGAAAGTAATATTTACTTGACAATTGAAAATTTGTCTTCAGAATAACATTCAAAATAAATATCGATTTACCAAAATACTCAAATGAAAAGAAAATAATCAACGAAAATCAAACTAATGTATTACTGTGTGTGTTATCACGGCAGAATTGTCTTACAATTAGCTTTCATTCAATAGGACTCTCATTCCTCAAACATTTGGCCTGTTAATGAACAAAATTTGTTAAAGTTACAAATGAGAATAATCATGAATATCATTTCTGAAATAACTTTTTTAAACAAATAAATAATTTAAAAATAATATTATTCGAAAATTTTTCAAAACAGCCACGTCTGCTCGTACTTCGTTTCGGTTCCTCGACGCGACGCAACGCGCCTTGACCCGGTCGAGAATCTTTTGAAATCGATTTTTGCCTTGATCGACATAAATTGAACATGTTCGATAGATACGAAGAAAAAGAGAGAGATACAGAGACAGAGAGAAGGGAGATTCGTTGCTCGAAGGAAGGAAAACAAACGCGGGGCGAGGTTGGAGGAGGTCTTGTAGCGAAATGCGTGGTGGCCCGCTTCTTTCGTTTGTAGGCCAGTGAAAAAAATAACCGCGTTCCAGATTTGTGAATAGGGGGGTGTATCGGATGCGCATTTACGGCAGCGGCTCGGCAAAAAAAAAGAAAAAAAAGAAAATAAAAAAAAAGAAATTGATACCGCGAGAAAGACGATCCATCAGCGGGGAAAAAGCGTGTTTCTCGAGTTTTCATCTCGACGTGCAATTGCGTTGGCGAAATGGTTTTAAAATGGTTTAGGCCAGCGTGAAGCGGTGGTCGCGACGCGATCTTGTCCCACGAAAGTCGTCGATTTCTTCGATAACTATTTAAGTTCCCTTTTGATAAATCGCGCATGCATAATGTTTCTAGCAGGCCGGTTCGAGCGTGCGGCCTGACTTTTATAACCTTCGATAAATTTGCGCATGGTTTTCGAGCCAGCACGCAGTGACCGAGACAAGGCCGCCCCTATGTTTTCGGATATCTACACGCCACGCGTTCTTCCTTTTCTTCTCTTCTCTTCTCTTCTCTTCTGTTATTTCGCTCTCGTGATTTTCACTCGCGATTCTTCTGCCGTCTCTTTCACAGCTGTTTCGTGAAATGTTGCTTACAGCGTTGCCGTGAAAGTTGAAAATCGAAAAAAAAAAAAAGAAAAAGATTCGTGTTTCTCTCGTCGTCGATATTAACCCATTTGCATCGCGAAGCGAAATATTCCGCGAATAAATTACGAAACGCGGAATAATTCGCGTGCAGCGATTAGGAATCCTCGTAATATTTATTTCTTATTAATCTATTTATTAATATATCGGAGACTCGGAAGTAAATTGATATAAGCTTGTATCAAGTGAATATCTTTCTTCCATTAAAACTGTCAATAATTTCGATAGTAATGTTATTTTGATAATTATATCATACACTACATTAATTATACATTTTAATTTTAATAATTTCAGTTCTTACATTGTAATAATTACGTTATAATAATCATATATATAGTAATATTATAAATTAAACTGTTCTCTTGACTGAAGATTTGGTCAAAAAGGAGGTTAGTTTTTACAGTATAAATTGTAATATTTTTTTTTTATAATTCTTCCGATTTATAATGAAAAAAATATATGGTTCAATTAAAAAAAAAGTAAAGATGACCTTGGAAATTTCAAAACCCATAAAAATTGATACGCCATATTTTCGCCTCCCTTAAAACCGTACAACTTTTGTATTAAACTTTTCATTAGACGCATAATTTAAAAGTTCTTGCAAGTGTGCAAGTTACGTGAATCACCCTGTGCATGTATATCCCGTATTCTGCTATTTCATTGCAATTACTTAATATTAACAGAAAATAATAAATATCTAAATCGAGATTTGATAAATTACTATACAAATGAAGTTACTAATAAATTACAATACACGTGCAGTTTACAATACAAGTGAAATTATTATTAAATTACGATGCAATTTGCGAGTTCACCTCTTGCGCTGGCAATTGATTGCGGACCATAACGAGTGACCGAACCGTATACAATAATTCGTCGCTTTCTTTTTCTTTTGAACTCGTCGGTATATCACTGAATAGAAATTATTAAGAAGTAATAAACTTATCATTTATTATACCATACCTTATTATTATTATATTATATTATTATTATATTATTGTATTATTATTATATTATTATATTATTATATTATTATTATACTTTATTATACCATATCTGGGTTATATTTAAATATACTTAAAACTGAGAAAATGTTGCAATTTGGGACAAAAAATTCTCGACGTGCGCAGCGCTACGTAATAGGTTAACTTCTTAGTTCGCAAGACCATAACGAGTGACCGAATATAATAATTCGTCGCTTTCTTTTTCTTTTGAACTCATCGATATGATATCACTGGATAGACATTATTAAAAAGTGATAAACTTATCATTTACTATACCATACCTTATTATTATTATATTATTGTATTATTATTATATTATTATATCTTATTATAACATACCTGGGTTACACTTAAGTATACTTAAAACTGCGAAAATGTTGCCATTTGGGACAAAATAGTTCTCGACGTGCGCGGCACGTCATTCCAGCGCAAGAGGTTAAGTCGCGAGGTTAGGCTAACACAGGTTAATACACACGGTCAACTATATCTTATATCTTTCTACTTAACAAAAAAGCATCTTCTCCGTGAAGTTTGATCAGCTGTGAATGCTCGAATATCGTTGGGGAAGAAAAAATTGCGGGAATCGAGCGAACGTAATACAGCTGGTTCTCCCTCCTCGTAAACTGAATCACCCATTTCGCGGCTCGTTGATTCATCGACGCGTCATGTCGCGTCGCGGCGTTCATCGACGTGCAAATCCAGCAACAAAGGATGAAAATTGCCCGTGTATAATTTTCATTTGGTCGTCTCGTTATCGGCGAGGAGTATTTTAGGCATAGTCGTTAGTTTCGCGATCGCTCGTCGCCGGAATCCCCTGGATGGCGTTGTTTGCATTTTTACAGGGGGAACCGAGGCGATATGTTTGATATTTACATTCTCACGATGAGTACGGAACGATCGAAGCCTGTTGATTTTCGACGCCGTGAAATCCACCTCTATGTGTGTGTGTGCGTGTGTGTGTGAAGTTATTGGCATAGGCTCAAAAAGTGTACAGGGTGTCCCAGATTTGAAACTTCAAGAACGTGTAATACAGGGGACTGATAAAATTAGAAACAGAGAAGTCCTTCGGAGATTTTCTCGTTTTCTTGCTTCATTTTGGAGAAGATAAAGCGAGAAAAGAAACAAAAAGGTGTTTATTTACACTTAGTCGTTATCTTACAATATTTCATAATTTGTTGCCATCTATATTATCCACTTGATGAGGATGTTAGTTTAATTGAAATGCAAGTACTAACGTCGAACATTAACTGTTCTAATGATATACAAACTACGGTCTTGTCTTTCTGAATTACACTTAGTCGTCATCTTACACTATCTCATAATTTGTTGCCATCTATATTATCCAATTGATGAGGATGTTAGTTTAATTGAAATGCAAGTACTAACGTCGAACATTAACTGTTCTAATGATATATAAACTACGGTCTTGTCTTTCTGAATTACACTTAGTCGTCATCTTATAATATCTCATAATTTGTTGCCATCTATATTATCCAATTGATGAGGATGTTAGTTTAATTGAAATGCAAGTACTAACGTCGAACATTAACTGTTCTAATGATATACAAACTACGGTCTTGTCTTTCTGAATTATTTACTTATGATTACTTATTTATTCACATTTATTCGTGTCATTGTCTATTTTATCGTTCATATTGTTATCTTGTAA